GGTCAATAGCATGACCTCCCAGATAAGTGATTCCTTAATTTTCTTTAGCATATAATTAAATCTTTCAACATCTCTGCTCTCTATATGGCTCTATTCTCCTGGTCAAACAGCATTTCAGTTTTTCTTATGCCATTTCTACTGCTAGAAAAGACAATAAGGCCACAGAACATGGGCTTCAAACACCCAAAGGGCAAAAGCAGATAACCCATCAGAGTCAAAGAGAAATGGAAACAACACAAAAAAAGAACAGAAAATTAGTAGAACTCTTGGGAAATGTCTCTCAGGAAGACCTCTTAACAGTGGGGAGCAACTGAGCCAAGGCAGTTGTTTTGTAAAGACAGCTACTCTACTATGGCGTTCCTCTAGTACTTAAGCTGATGTGTGATACAGACAAGTGGGGATGGTTACTAATGTTAGAGGACATTGTGGACCATGGAGCACACGGAATTCCAGACAGCCCAGAAATGCACAATGCATGTGGTACAATAGAGCATGGTGCATATTATCCTGCCACAAAAGGATGAGTCTGGACTACAAAGGTAGTTGATTTACAATCCCAAGCCTCCCAGTTGCCTCTGTGGACTATGAAGACAGTTGTTGGGGTGGTTGTGGTCTTGTTGAAGGAAATGTTTCACTGGCAGAGATTTCAAAGCCGAAGCGAAGCCCAGTGTCTCTCTCTGCTTCCTGCCTGTGGATCTGGACATGTAGGTCTCAGCCCCCTCTCCATCTCCCTGCCTGTCTGCATGTCACCATGTCCTGCCAATGACGATGACAGGCTACACTGCTGACGCTGTAAGCAAGTTCTAATTAAACGATTTATTTTATGAGAGTTGCCGTGGTCATGGTGTCCCTTACAGGAATAGAACAGTGGCCAAGACACTAATCAAACCTTTAAGAGAAACAAAACTTTTCCCTAAAGAGTAACTCCTGCCTTCCAGGAAACCTCTTAATAATGAGCCATTGTTATCTGACTTAGAATTTTGCCTCCTTTTCAACTTGAAACATTTGAAGCTCAGACCAAATCTGAATGAAAATAAATATGTAAAAACTTCATCTATGTCCACTAGCGTGTAAAGCAGCAAGAATCCCTCCTCTTAATCCGTGGTGGTTTTTTGAAAACTCTTTTCTTCCAGACCATATCCCATAGCAGAGGCTGTGGTGGAACTGTACTTCTGGGCACCTGCTGGGCCGCAAATGAGATCCACGCGTATAATCCTGGAGACATGTCCTCATTTACAGGCAGTTTGGAGGGGAAATAGCCCAGCCCCATCCAGCCTGTCCAACCGCCTTCTCAACAACAGAGAGAAACTTTACTAACTAGCACAATTATTTTACCACCTGCTGGAAAGTCTGTAGTAAGATTTTCCTCCCCGAGTGCTAACGAGAACTGGAGCCTGTGAAATGAGAAGCCACAGTAACGCAATAGAAAAATCTTTTACAAAGTTTGCTTTTATGAACTAAAGCAAAAGCAAAAATTCCTCAAATTATTAAACCATTGACAACTCCCATTACAACCATTCAGAGAAATATCAGTGATGAATGATTGATTCCTCTACGTTTGAACTGGCCAAATCCCCTTGACATAGCTGAACATTCCTAACTGAGAAGTAAGCGGCCATTAAAAGATTAAATTACTAAAATGAAAAATAATGTTCACACTCCAGCATACCAAAACTGGTATCTACAAATTACCCATTTCCAGGCATGGTGGTGCATTCCTTTAATTCCAGCCTTCTGGGGGTAGAGGCAGGTGGATCTCTGCAAGTCCAAGCCCAGTAAACAAGGTGAGTTCTAGGCCAGCTAGGGCTGCATAGTGGGACTATGTCTCAAAAATTAAACAATATCAATTAGTATATTCAACTAAAAATCAGGAAAGTTAGCATTATTATCCCTTTTTTCAAAGAGCATCTACTGTGATTAAGAATCATGAGAAGGGAGAAATACATTAGTTCGCATTTCTCTCCCTTTTCCCCAATAAAATTACTGGGAGAAAAAGGGCAACATCATCTCCATATACACAATTTCACACACAAGTTCAACTCTGGCTCATGTACACATTGTGCAATGACTCTCAGTACTAGAAATGACATTTCTCTACATTGTTCTGCAACCCATTATACCAAAGACCTGGATATATATAACCCCACCCCGAAAAGATACAGAGATAAATAAGATATTTTGTACCTGCATCCAGGGGTGGCATTTGTAAGTGCAAAGGGTCTTGGAACATCCACACTACCATCACTGAACACATAAGGGAGGTGCTATGGTAATGCTGCTAAAATCTGCAGGACTCCTTTCAGGCAAGGGGAGTCAACAGAATATGATGAATGAGCTCACACATGAGCCACTGATTTGATAACATCTAAAATATAAAGAGATGGACGAAACAAAAAGCAGAAATAGGAACCCAGGAGGGAACGGGTTTGACAAAGCTCAGGACACCACGGGAACAAGTGAGGGTCGTTGAGTGCAGGTTTAGGTATTTTATACTCCTTAAGCCCAAAACAGTTTGGAGGTTCTCATTTCTCTTTTAAAACTGTCAAGCAAAATGAACATGCTCTGACTGTCCCCAAAGAGGTCACTTTCACAAAAGATAGTGTGGCAAGGGTCTTAAAATGTCAGAGGTCAAAGGTCTAGAGGACCTCAACCAAGATATCCAAACATATCCTAACCCAAGCCACTTGATCACTCCACATCTCAGTTGTCCAGTCCGTGTGTACATGTCACCCTTTAGATAACCGAAACACTAGCAGGGCAAATTAAAGTCCATCGAGTGAACTCAGGATGTGTGCAAACCTTAGTGTCCAATAGAAAGACGAGCAAATGTCTCAGAAATGGAGTTTGAGTATCTATATTTTGTAACTAATCATTTTCTGCAGTACTAATGTTTAAGTGGGTGAATTAAAGGTAACTTTGGAGGGAGGAGAATAGGGTCTCACTGAGTATTTCATGATAATCTAGAACTCACTATATAGCACAGGCTGACTGGTGATTCATGATCCTCTTGCCTTTGCCTCTTAAGTGCTAGTAAAACAGGAATGCCCCACCAGTAATGCATAATTACTGGCATTAATAACTATTTAAAGTAATATATAGTGTATTTTTAAACTCTCTCAAGCTAAGGTTCAATATTAATTATAGAAAAATTTGCTCACATTCAGTGAGAGCATTAGGAAATCTAGGGCCATCCAAACTGTACATAATTTACTTCTTTAGTATTCCTGTTTCTCTACTAAATATGGATGTATGTAGAATCATTGTTTCCAACATAAATAATTTGCATATATGGATATTTTTCCTCTGAAGATTACTGTTGGATGCCACAATTGTTTGGTAAGATTTAATGTATAATTACTGTTTCAGAAGTGAAAGCCTATTAAATATATATGAATCAGAAATACTTCCATATAATATATAACTACATATTAAGGCGGAATTTATGGCTCAGTTACTGTGAGATCAAATGCAATGGCTATTCCTGGTTGTCAACTGGCTCCATCTGGAATTAACTAAAGCCCAAGCATCTGGGTTCAACTGTTGAAGGATTTTTTTTTCTTCATTAAATCATTTGAAGTGGAAGACCTATTTTCAATCCAGATATGCTGAGTTGGAAAGAGGCACCTTTAACAGGGGCTACACCTTTTGCTGGAAGAGGAAAGCTTGCTCTCTTTACCTGCCCGCTCTTGTTCTCTCTGGTAAAGCCATTACTTTGCTGGCATTAGTGCCTGCTTCTTCAGGATAGCAGCGTCTACTGAAGACCAGCTGAGACATCTGGCCTTGTGGGCTGAACAACTGCTAGATTCTTGGAGTTTCCGTTGGTAGACAGCCATTGTTGGACTTGTTGGGCCACAGCATGTAAATCACTCTAATACATACATATTAGATATTCATTATATACAATATTTATTTCGTCCGTAAGTTCTGTGCTTCCACAGCAGTGATCCTCAACCTTCCAAATGCCACAGCCCTTAATTACAGTTATTCATGGTCTGGTGACCCCCCCCCCCAGTCATAAAAGTTGCTACTTCACAACTGTAGTTTTGCTACTGTTATGAGTCATAATGCAAACATCTGTTTCCCGATTAGGCAGTCGCTGTGAAAGGATCACCCCATGGACTCTGTGTTACGATGCAGCGTGAGGTGGGACGTTTGTGGCAAGTCCCATGGCGGTGAGGACCACGGTAGGTGCCAGAATACGCCGTGCTGTCAGAGCTTGTGTGTAGAGCTTTACTAAAAGGGAGGGAAGAAAGAGAGCGACAGAGAAGGAGGGAGAGAGTGGGGAGGGGGGAGAGGGAGAGAGGCAGAGACCCGCCTGCCTCTTTAGTAGAATGGCAGGAGAGAGAGAGAGAGAGAGAGAGAGAGAGAGAGAGAGAGAGAGATCAGGAGTGGACAGAGTTTGTCTCTCCAAGGGACCTTTGCACCTGGGTACAGCCAGGGAACTGCTTTCCATAATCAGAGGGGTGACTGCCAGGGTCCCAAGGGGCGCCTAGATACTAACACTCAGAGTCACTGCGCTAGAGAACCCTAGCTAATACAGCAAATATTAAGAAACAGATTGAAATGCTTTGCAAAGTAAATGACTTTGAATTCGCAAGTGAGTGTTCAGAAAACAAAGAGCCGTAATTTTTGTTTCACCTACACTGTATCTTTCCAAAATCAGAACAAAAATATCAACTGCCTCCAAACCCACAGGCCACTCTGGCCAGGAAAGCAGCAGACACTCTCTGGGGACCCACAGGCCATGTTGGACAGGAGGCAGGCAGAGTAACTGTAGATCTTCACCTCCGCCTCCATCTCCCCAAGTCCAATCCCCCAGTCTCATCCCCATCTCTTTAGCAAACCTTCTGCTGTGACCCCTCCACCCTTTCTGTCCCCATTCCTAGGGAACTAACTAAGCAGACTCTAGTGGAATTTCCTGCTTTCCTCCCTCTTGTAAAGCACCTCTACCACCCCCAACACTTCCCCATACAAATCCTAACACATAGAAAATACATAGAGCTGTCTTCTTTTCTCCACGTGAGGGGGTGCGCGAATTCCCAGTGGTGGCCGCCCGCTCCGCACCTCTGCAGCTCTCGTGCCCCTTACGATGGCGGGCATCCTGTTCGAGGATATTTTTGATGTGAAAGACATTGATCCAGAAGGCAAGAAGTTTGACCGAGTATCTCGGCTGCACTGTGAGAGTGAGTCTTTCAAGATGGACCTCATCTTAGATGTCAACATTCAGATTTACCCCGTGGACTTGGGTGACAAGTTCCGGCTGGTCATAGCTAGTACTTTGTATGAGGATGGTACCTTGGATGATGGCGAATACAACCCCACAGATGACAGGCCTTCCAGGGCTGACCAGTTTGAATATGTAATGTATGGGAAAGTGTACAGGATTGAGGGGGACGAGACCTCAACCGAAGCAGCAACACGTCTCTCTGCATATGTGTCCTATGGGGGCCTGCTCATGAGACTTCAGGGTGATGCCAACAACCTACATGGATTTGAGGTGGATTCCAGAGTGTATCTGCTGATGAAGAAGCTGGCATTCTGAACCTCGTGGGAAACCAGCCATGCTGCTTTGTCACTCAAGTCGTGGACGTTGTTCAACCCTGAGTAGAAGCTGGCGGTGTTCGCCTTCAAAAGGACTGGCTCTGTGTCCACTGTGGGTGCGTCTTCAGTCTGTCTGAATTCGGTGGAAAACTCACTTGTCTGTGAAAAGCCAAGTGGGAGAGCTTAGCATGAATCTCAAGTTGTGTCTGTGTTTTTTTTTATTAAAGTTTACTTTTTCAGAAAAAAAAGAAAATACATAGAAATACATTTTATCTGGAACCCCCAGTGCCCATACCTATCAGGATGCTAGAAGGTTTTTCCACAGGCAACACACAGCCACTACACTTTCTTAAAAACCACAGAGGAAACAAAAACCAAAGGAAAAGACACCCACGTGCTTCTTCAATACCAGTCTAAAAACACAATCAATCACAGCCCCATTGAAAGTCTCAAATAACCTAGGTTGTGGCCAAGACTATACTCCACAAACTGACAGCAAGGCCCCAGTGCTGAAACAAACACCGACACGATTCACTGAACACAGAGATGTTGAGCTGGTGCCTACATAGAGCCTTCACCCCTACATTTGAGCATCTTTGATATGCTATGAGAAGAGGAATGAAGACACCAAGTCAGGTACAAATGCTTTATTTACAATGGTGTATGATCTGCAAGATATCCTGGGGCAATGGTGGCATAAACCTTGTGGGAGTAACCAACCAATAACTGATTTGACGTGATTTCATCCACAAGATGAAACCCATACCCAACACTGCTTGGGGCTGAGAGTAGATAGCCCAGGAACCTAGGGTAAAACCAAGAAATGATAGTCTAAAATAAGAAAAAAAAAGCGAAAAGATGACTCCTAATGACATTTTGCTGTACTCAGAAATCAGTACCTTGTTCAGTTAGTATCAGAGAAGCTTCCTCCTGCAGCAAATGGAAGCAAATTTAGAGTCCCACAGCCAAACTTATACAGAGAGTAAGAGACATTGAAAGACTTAGTTGTACTGTTTGTTTGTTTGTTTGTTTTAATTCTTTGGCTCTTTGCCCTTTGGGAAACTGCCACCCAGCTCCCAAATAAATCACACAAAGGCTTATTCTTTCTTATGTACGGCCAGTCTTAGCTTGGCTTATTTCTAGCCAGCGTTTCTTAAGTTATCCTGTCTACCTTTTGCCCCTGGACTTTTACCTTTATTTCTGTATATCTTTGCTTTACTTCTTACTTTGTGGTTTGCTGTGTAGTTGGGGAATTGGCCCTTGATGTCCTCTCTCTTTTTCTCATACTTTGATCCTCTATCCTCTTTTTTCCTAGATTTCTCCTCCTATTTATTTTCTCTGCCTGCCAACCCTGCCTATCCTTTCTCCTGCCTTGCTATTGACCATTCACCTCTTTATTAGAGCAACTGGGTGTTTTAGGCAGACAAGGTAACACAGCTTCACAGAATTAAACAAATGCAACATAAAAGAGTGCAACACATCTTTGCATCACTAAAACAAATGTTCTAACAGCATAAACAAAAATGTAACACATCTTAAAATAATATTCCACAGCACTCAGCCCTAAATGGGATGTCTCTATCAAATCCTCCCTCAGTGCTCAAGCAACCCTGCCAAAGAGGATGCAGAAACAGTGTAAAAATCAGAGGGGAAAGAGAACACCAGGAGAACAAGGCCCTCTAAATCAACATGAGCAAAGCTCAGATGAACTTACAGAGACTGAAGCAGCAGACACAGGATCTGCATGGCTCTACACCAGATCTTCTGTGCTTATATTATGGCTTTTAGTTTAGTGCTTTTATGGGATTCCTGAGTGTGTGACTGATGGGGCTCTTATTTTTGTAGCTTCTCTTGGGCTCTTTTCCTTCTGGTAGTTTGTCCTATCCAACGTGTGTGTAATAGCTTTTGTTTTATCTTATTATGTTTTATTTCTTAAGAATTAATTAGTAGGGTAATGGTGGGGGACAATTCTGTATTCTGTCAGTTACGTTTTAAATAAATGCTGATTGGCCAGTAGCCAGACAGGAAGTAGAGGTGGAGAAATGAGAACAGGAGTATTCTGGGAAGAAGGAAGCTCCTTTCCCAATCCTGCCCAGATCATGGAAGACGCAGGATGTGACCTGCCCTGCTGAAAAAGGTACTGAACCATGTGGCTAACATAGATAAGAATAGTGGGCTATATAAGTTATTAGAGCTAATACGAAGCCTGAGCTAAAGGGCCAATCAGTTTATAACTTATATAGACCTCTGTGTGATTTTCTTTGGGGCTTACTGGCTGTGGGAACTGGGCAGGACAGAAACACCAACAAGCTGCTACTCGTGTTACAGGATAAGGGTTAACAACTTGTCACAGTTTAAAAGAAAATGGTCCCCTGAAGAAAGTGGCATTATTAGGAGATGTGGCTTTGGTGGAGGAATCGTGTCACTCTTGGGGGTGGGCTTTGAGGTCTCCTGTGCTCACTCTATGTTCAGTGTGTGGCACACAGATTCCTCCTGCTGTCTGTGGATCAAGATGTAAACTCTCTGTTCCTTCCCCAGCACCGCGTCTGCCTACATGTTGCCATGTCCCACCATGAGGATAATGAACTAAAAAGCTCATAAACTGTAAGCTGCCACCAATTAATGCTTTCCTTTATAATAGTTACCATGGTCGTGGTGTCTCTTCACAGCAATAAAGATCTGAACTAAGACACAATTGAATTGATCTTTGTCCTCTATGCTACCGAGAGAGGTAAAATCAGTTTTCCCCAGTGGAGTGACACTGAGTATATCAAATCAGTCCAGGGCAGGCCTCATGTTCAAGAGTAATTGATCAGTATGCAGTGGACTCCTCAGTTGATTTCGTATGCATATGTGCTTTTATTCGATTACAGTTTGGCAGGTTTTTTGCTTTGTTTTGTTTCCTTTTGGGTGGTGTTTTATTTTCTTGGTTTGGGGAGGATTTGTTGTATTAGTTTTGTTTGTTTTTTGAGAAATAACTTAAAGCTGGATGGGTAAGGAAGGGGAGAAGCTATGAAAGGACTGTGGGGAGGGGAATAATATGATCAAAATGTATTTAAATTGTAAAATTCTTCTAAATTATAAGAATACAATAAAAATATTTTAATGTGAAAAAGTAAAATGTTACAATGTCAATGGCAATTTGTTTTAAATATAAGAGTAAATAACAATTTTGCAGAAAAGTAGATGATGAAATTTTAATGAGATTTCAAAGACTTAAACAAGTACACATTAATCATATTTTAGATCAAAAGATTAAAATTTGAAAAGATGTTGTTCCTCTGTGAAGTAACAAATGAATATAATAAGTACCAAAGCCCAATCTGAGACAATTTAGGGTCTTGAAAATTTATTTTATTTTTCTTTAGAAGAACAAACATGAAAATTAAATGTTTAAAACTATAGTGAAAAAGCGATGTGAGGATATGAATTTTGCTGGGTTTTGAAATATAATTGAAAATTACAAAAATGAAAGGGGCTTGATAAGGAGCCAGAATAGACATAAAAATCACCTTACAGAACAATGACAATACGTGGGCCTTGCACCAGAAGTATGGATGGGTATCACCAAGCATTGCTGGAGGGGTGGAGAAAATCACATGGTAATGAAGGGCCCCCCTCATACTTGAAAGATCCCCATGTCCACATACTATGTTAAACTCTGCTGAAACTTAACTGAGCCATAGAAAGAAAGCCCCCAGGCTCAGCTAATGACTCTGCGAAATTTAGCTGGGCCATAGAAGGAAAGTCCCCCTGGCCCAGCCGATGCTAAAACAGGAGATCTATGGGTTGCAGACTTGCTGACTAGGCTGAGGAGAGGGAGTACCCCACCCCCAAGGCATTCTATCAAAACTGTCGACTTGCTGCAGGGTTCTCTATCTAGCTTTGTGGTTTTTTCAGGAAAATTCAAGAATAGACATGGGGCCATTCCCGGGGTGAGCTAAGCCCACCAATTTGAGAACCAATGAAATCCTTGTTGCTATGCAGCCTCTTATGTAACTCTTAAATCCCTATAAATACATAATGTGCCTTCAGCCCGGCATACTCAGTCAGCTACGCTGCTGAAGCATCCACAGGCGCCTGTGTATTCAATAAACTGCCTCTTGCTCTTGCATCCAGTGGACTGGTTCTTGGACAGAGGGCTCCAAGTGAACCCCCCCCCCCCGGCATTTGGGGTTTTTCAGTAAGATGTTAGAAATAGTGTTCTTCGGGCATGCCTTCACTCAGAATAAAACACAGGCATATTAAAGATATAAAGATTAAAGCTGTAAAAGTGTAAGTACACAAAAATAAATTGTCCATAGCTGAGACAGGAAAAATATTCTGATCATGACATAATCTGAAAAACGCCAGTAAATCCAAGTGGTTTATTAAGTGGGTATAATAACAAATAAGAAAACTACTGAATGGCAATCGGCAAAAATGCTATGACTAAGTTAAATGAAAGAACATTGCAGTTTATCGGGCTCAATGTTCACCATAAAATGAGATGCTTCTTTCAAAATTATTCAGCATCAAGGTCGAAAACAAAGGGTGTACTCCAGCACGGTGACCGCAGGAGTTTAATTAGAGAGTGTTTTACAATGAACGGACAAGCTAAGGGACATTGTCTTAGTTAGGGTCTCTGTTGCTGTGAAGGGACACCACAGCAGCTCTTACAAAGAAAAACATTTGATTGGGTGGCTTACAGTTTCAGAGGTTTAGTCCATCACCATCACGGCATGATATGGTGGCATGCAGGCAGACACAGGGCTGGAGAAGGAGCTGACACAGGGCTGGAGAAGGAGATCCAGTTCTGGATCCGAGGCAGCACAAGGAGACTGGGTTCCACACTAGGCATAGCTTGAGCATTTGAGACTTCAAAGCCAACCCCCATAGTGACACACTTGTTCCAACATGCCACATCTACTCCAACAAGGTCACATCTCCTTATAGTGCTGTTCTCCATGGGCCAAGTATTCAAACACATGAGTCTGTGGGGGGAATACCTATTCCCACCATCACAGACACCAATCACGAGAGACAAATGGATCCAAGACCAGCAGCTGCTCTGCTGGAACCCATTCCCCACTTTCAACCACAAACAACAAAGGAATGAGACGGTCCTAGAAGCCAGGGTGAGCAGAGACCCCCAGATAGGACCTGTGGTCTTTGCTTGGATGGAGTTGACATCTTCCAACTTGGCAGACGGACCAGAAGGATAAGTGCCTT